ATGTATTCAATTCACTACTTCAGATTTTTGTTCTTTATATTCTTATTTCTCATTGAAAACTGACATCGAGCTCCACTGCATCACTCCTTCATATGCTAAAAATTTTAAGACCCAGAACTTGATGGGACTAATTCCTTTTTCCAGGACTCAGAAGTTTCTTTCTGCCTTTGACAGGTGCAGTCTCACGATTTTTCTATCACTTGTTTTAGAAAAAATATTGAGTTTTCTTCTCAGTTTTGCACAAACATAGATTCTGGCTTTTGTACATTTTACTGTGATTACTACACACTGTTGGTATATATAGCAGGCGTCAGCAAACTTCCTGTGAAAATCCTAATTCAGTAAAAGGCCTTTCTGCAAGCTAGAGTGTCTTTGTAATATAAAACCAGACACAGACAGCAGGTTTGGCTGAATGCCACAATTTGCCAAACTGAGAAGTTTAAATAAATAAACCTGTTTTATATAAATGAAAGGGAGCTCTGGTAGCATAGTGCCTAAGGCTAACCAGAAGGCTGGTGGTTCAAACCCACCAGCCACTTCTTGGAAGGAAGATGGGGCAATCTACTTCCATAGTGATACTGCCTTGGAAACCCAAGGAGGGGTCGCTATGAGTCAGGTCCGACTCGATGGCATATAACAACAACAACAACATATAAATGAAAAGGAAACTGTGGTACCTCATCAATTTTACCCAGGTCAAATTCTGACAGACTACCATTCTAGTCCCCAAATGACTAGAAGGTGGGAACGTGATACTTCACCTACATAAGAACTTTTTTCTACCAATCACAAGTTACTTGCTTTTCCCTTTTATCGTTTCTAATGGCATCTTATTGCTAACATTTCCATCAATTAAACCAAGTAATTTTTCCTTAACACAGAATGTCAAGATGATAGTAAATGACATTAAATATAGATACCAAGTTTCAAGAATACAGTCTAATCATATTACATTTTGAGCACACTTGGTTAAGATAGTCTTGACAACTTTTCTTTTAAGTAAGCTTACCTGTTTGGGCACAAGCCATCAAGTCTCTTTTTTCTTTGATAATAGGAATTGCATATTTTTGCACTGGAGTAGGACGAGTGTAACGAGTAAGCTCAATGTTCCCCATGATAATTTCTCCCATTTCAATATCACTGAACTGTCAAGAAATTTAACAAAGCCAATCAAATAGTAAATTGAGACGTGTTGTAAGTCATACAATTTGTTTCTCATACTAAGAAAATAATGAAAATTACCAAATAAAGTCTACCTATAATTCACTATGTGCCAGTGGTGTATAATATACCAGCAGTAGGTTGTATGATTTAATTTACCTTTACCTAAAATCAAGTAAATGTATCATGGTATTTACGTATATGTTTTTAAACACACTCCTGGTTCTAACCTATTTGAAAAGGTTGTTATTTCCTTAGTATATTTGGTATTTTCTATTTCAGGAACATTTATAATAGTAATATTAAGCTTCCTCTAACTTCTCATAATCCAAGGACGTTTTTATTACTTATAAAAACTACTAAATAAGCCATTGTTTTACTGGTAAGTTCACCTAATCTATGTTAACAGAGAAAACATTTATACTCTTGTTTTAAAAAGTCACATTAAAAACTTACACTTTCAATATGCGGAGGACAATTATTGCCAGTCGCCTCTACTGGTATGTCATCGTATTTCTCAAAGTTAATCCCAGTATTTCCTCCAGAAAAGAGTTCCCTAGAATTAATCATTACATGAATGTTACACTAGGTATTAACTTTCAAAATAATTAATACACAGTTTAAAAACTTACTGTTCTAAGCGTTCACTTGGAGGAAGAGGTTTTGACCAATCATCTTCATCTGTTCTGTCATACCAGCGACCATATCCACTACGTTCAAATTTGCCAAAGCTAGTCCTGTCACGACGACTGCCAATGCCATCATAGCCACTACGTCCACGATCCTCAAACCTGAATAGCACAATCAGAACATGCTATGTAGCTAATATCAGCTTCCTGAAAGTGTGCCTAGATAGCAATTCATGATGATAACAATACAACATTACTCTCATTTAAAATTTGCACCTTTCTTTATATATTTATAAAGTCTTGTAGCTTAAACAGGCATCACACATATTCAAAGAATCTAGCCTTGTATTATATATAACCAGAGTGTATCTTATACTTTTTTTTTAAAAAATAACCTATATTTTTTATTAGTAAAGCAAAAAAAAAAAAAAAAAAACCACACAAATTAGTTCCCTCAGTTATGTCTGAACAGAAAGGAAAATTTACTTGTGTGAAAAAGTTAAGATGATTTTAGAATTTTAATCCTCTTTTTGAGAAACAGAATATAAGACTTGGGTTTGTAAAATAAGTTAAGGCAATCAAAAATAAAATATTTTTAAAAACATTCAAAGAAGCCATAAATACCTCAACCAAGTAATGGATGTTATTCAAATGCCCTCTTAGTATTTTATTTCCATTTAAAAGATTAAATTTAATAAAGAACTCTTACAGCTAACACTTTGTTTATAACAGTACATTTGCTAATGGAAGAAAGTATCACCCATAGACGTAAGAAGTGTACAAAGGTTCAGAACTTAAATTATATCATTTATTATTAAATTATAAGCTTGTTTCTAAAAATGCTGTTCTATGTACACATTTGAGAAAAATCATTTTACCTTCCTCTTGATCCACTTGCACGATCACTAAAGTAACCGGGTTTTCCTCTTGAGTCACGAGATCCGAAACTGCTATATGCATCTTTTTCTTTACAGCTCCATCCTGAATTGTCTTTATCATAGACTCCTTCAATGAGAAAGGAAAAAATTATTATAGGGCCAATAGATTTATTGTTACTAGGACACTGAAAATGAAAACTATAAATTGGATGTTCTTTTTTTTTTTTGCCCTCAAACATAGAAAACATTCTGAATAAATGCCACCCAATAACTTGCAAGTCTCCAGTACTAAAAAACAGTAAGAATTTAACACCATGTAATTTATTTGCATAGGATGATACCCACACACATACTTTTAATACAAATGGTTATAGATAAAGTGTTGCACGGTAAAGCCATGCAAACCTACCTCAGCCTTTGTGCTTAAGTTTGCTAACAGAATCAAGAACTTTTCATCATGCAAATTAGATGAATTTTTCCAACTTAATAAACTGCTAGTTCTTCAAGTCAGTTCTAATCTAAAAGTATAGAACACTCTCAAATTACCTCATATTTCTTATGCTTTGATGAATTTCTAAATACATGAGTACAATCTGTTAAGTTACTATAATTTACCTTTATAAGTTTCTCTGTTTCTTAAGTGAGGAGGTATATAGCGCCCTTCTAAAAAACAAAATGTGTAATTAAATAAATGCCTCTGACATTTTCCAAGGAATAGCTTTTTACCGAAACTGCTATTGAAAAACAGGTCTTGGAAAGCAAACATTTGTTTTAAACCTCTATTCTTTAGGCATAACTAATTACTTTTCAAATGAAGGAAATAATATGTATAAAGGGTTATGATTTTATGAACAAATTTTTTTTCCAAACAAAAAAAGGAAAAGTAGTTTAGCAGACACATCTGGCTCATTAGACCTAAGCTGAAACCCTAAATCAAATACATTTCAGTAGTTACTTGTCCTTACATAAATTTTTTAAGCAGTTCCTTGCCCTTTCAGGAAACATACATATAAACTAACATTAACTATAACCAGTACTGTAGCAGTCTACCAGAAGGAAAAGGAAGTGTTAACAAACTAATAATGTAATGCAATGATCCAGTCAGAGGCTTCCACCCACCCCCAGTCTAGTAAAGCTATACAATAAAGTGACATGAAAAGCTGGAAAGGAAAATGATCTCAGGAAGAAACTGAAGAGTTTCAACTTTGGCCTTCCAAGTTCAAGGAAAGTATTTTGTACATAGATAGAAATACTGCTTTGACTGTGGGTGAGAAAGAATTAACCTACTAAGCAAAAGAAGGGAGCTCTGGTAGCATAGTGGCTAAGACACTTGCCTGCTAACCAGAAGGAGGGGTCGCTATGAGTTGGGTTTGACTCGAGGGCACATAACAACAACAACAGAAGCAAAAGAAAGTCAACTAATTTATTACTTGAAAATTTGCACTTTTATTACACAGGTTCTCCTTCTTAGGCTTAACATAGTTCAGGTCAATTTACATGAAAAGGAATGAACATTATCTCCCCACCTCCTTCAGGTAAGACAATCATATTAGAAAAATTTCTACAACTAAAGTTCGTACTGCCTGACTTTCATTTTAAAGAGTAACTTTTCACTCAACAAGAACCAAACTTTTATTATCTAGATATACCAAACACTTTTTTTCACATAAAAACAAAAACAAAACCTTAAAATCATTACATTCAGAGAAAAAGCAGTTCCCACTAAGTGGATTCTACTTCATGGCAAACCCATGTGTATCAGAGTAGAAATATGCTCCATAAAGTTTTTAATAGCTGATTCTATTCTGTGTATGTTTTTTCTGCGAGATCTTTGGGTAGCCTCCAAACTCCAATCTTTTCAGTTACTGAGCCCTTTAAAATTTTGCACTGACACCCAAGTACATAGAAACTACTATAAAACTCTTACACAGATTCAATATATCCGATGTAATTTTAAAACAGTTCTTTAAATGTTATACAAATAAACAGTAACAGTTAATTACATTAATTATTATAACAGCCTACCCAACAAACACTTATATAATATACCTAATATGCAAATGTCATAAATACAGAATGGGAATATTTTACTTACTACTGCTTGCTGTATTTCCTCCTCCACTTGGATTATCTGAGGAGCTCAGGCCTAGACCAGCAAACTAGGACAACAGAGATTAAGAACAACTCACATACTGATCACACACTACTAAGGGAAAATCAAGTATGGATATCATTATTACCCCTGCTTCTCCCTCAAAAAAACAAAAACCAAAACCAGAGTAGCCAGTGCTACTCTGTCCTTTATAGGGTTGCTAAGAGTTCAAATCCACTTTATGACACTGGGTTTTGTTTTAGGCAACTTCAAAACACAATTGTTTTAAAAATATTTTTATTTCTACAAAAGAAAAGAAAAAAGTGCATTGCTCTAATGGATTTCCAAGGTTGTAATCATCACAAAAGCAGACTTCCCTGTCTTCCACAGAGCACTGGAAGGTTCCAACATACATGACCTACTGAACATTTAACCACTGAGCAACCAGAATTCCTCTGAATCCTACCAAATATGGCAAACGAAAAAAGCAGCCCCCAGATGCAGGTTAGTTCTACCTTAGTAGAGGCTCTTCTCATTCATCCATCTAACAGATTTGTTACCAATTTTCTGTAGATGTTTACCAATTACCAAATTAGAATTTTTCCCTACCATGATCTCTCAAGAACTTAAAAACTAAACAGTACTGTGCCACTGTACTTAACAACGCAATCACATAATCCTTGCCACTCTGAAGAAGTATTTATTTCATTCATTTTAGAAATGAATTCATGGGTCTTTTGTCACAAGGTACCCAAGTGGTACAATTGGCATTCAATGCCCTTCAACTAGTAGGAAACAATTCAATTGAGGTCTTTACCTCAAATTCTACATGGCACATAAGCAATTTCTCTTTACTACATTTTGTAATGACTAACCAAAGAAAGTAATGACTACTTTCAAGGAAAGTTCACTGTGCTAAAACAAACAGTATTTTTAAAAAGCACAAAGTCCAACACAGTGAACAACATTGCCATTCGTTTCCAAAAGAAATGTTTCACAAACACTGTCTTAAAAGCTCAAGATAATGTCACCAAATTGGTCACCAATAAAGACATTATCTTAATTACCCTAATTTTTCAGGTCGAATTTCCTACCATTACCATTTAACTCACAGGAACCACAAAGCATAGTTTAGTAAATACATCCCAAATCAAAAGTTTATTTCTGGCTACAATCTCAAGAAACTACCACTCATACACATAATGTTACAAATCTGGAATATCTATCCCTTTAAAACTGTATTTTCTATCTCTATGCCCCATTTAACATATAAAGTGTCAGCAAAACGCAGTGTTAATAACCACATCCTTACCAGTAAAATATCCTCAAATCAGATACCCATATTCCTCATATACAATGCATGTAACAACACTGAAGTTTATGATCAAACGTGTAGCAAGTTGTTTTCGTTAATGTAGCATTTGACAATTATTTCTTATGTCAAGTTTGTGCGCTGATTTAAAACAAACTGGCGCGAGAGTTGTTCAGACTTAAAACCTTTAAAGAGGTTTTCTACTACGAAAAACAAGCCTATACAGCCTTCTTAGATCACGAATCTTTTTCCCCCAATACCTGGAATAAAGTATTTTACGTAGGCGGGAAACTCAGGTTTCGACTGCTCTACAAGCAACAACTATGTCGCCCACCAACCCACATTCTGAATCTCAGCATTAACCCACAGTAACTCCCCCTGCAACCCCCGTTCCAAAACTCACACAGCGCACTGTACTAAACCAAACACGACTCTGGTTTACATCAAAAAAGTGCCAAATTCACAACTAACCTCCGGAGGTGTCCCCCCTCCCCCGCGTGGAACTTCCATAGTCCCCAGACAAGAGGTCGAGGGAAGCACACAGCCGCAGCTCTTCCCCACCCCGCTCTATAATCCCTTTCCGGTTCTTCTATGTCACCAGTTTCCACTCCGGAAGCGTGGCCTCCATAGCTGCAACCGGGGACTTATACCGCGGCGAGAAGGGACCGCGAAACAATCAGGGCACCAGTTTCACCGTTTTACATTCCGTCGACTGCCGGAGCGCCATTAGGCTCGTCCTTCTTTCAGCGTGCGGGCAATGGTGCCGTCCAGCCTTGCCACACCACACGAAAGAAGCCGCCGCCATTACCCAGAGCGAAATCAGCCACCCACCTTCCAATCTTACAATTTCTGTGGCTGCTTATATACCAGTGATGCCTCTAAGCCGGCTGCCTACTAAGAGTCGAACTGTTCAAGAAATAAATGGTCCCTTTGGTGCACCCAGTACTCCGTCATTACTTGGAATTGGTACCTTCACACCTCTACCACATATTATCAAACGCCGTCCCCGTGCGCGGCCCGGCTACAAAGCCTCAGGCCCAACCCAAGCCTGGCCCAAACGATATCCACAACCTACAATACTGCCATCTCCCACTCTCTTCCCCATTCTGTCTTCCCACGATTCCTTCCGTTTCTAAAAATGCTCAACCAACGCAAGACTCGGACTCAGGAAAGGAGAAACTACGGTGACTAATTAGATCTGCGCCACAAAACACATCGAGACAGGAAAGTAATCCAAGCCGACCGCCTCCACAGGCTTGTTTTGGCTTACCTGCTGGTCCAGCTCGAGAGAATTTTCCGGTGTCATATAACTCATTCTTGAAGCGTACCGATAACTCGGCAGCTGCCAACCGCAGATCAAATTTAAAGTACAAGACACTTAACAGGATTACTACAAGTCTGAGGTAAGCCGCGGGGCCACCGCTCTAAAGAAAAACCGCTCGGACGGCTGTACGCCAGCACGTCATAAACGTCTCACGTCAACGTCATCACGTCTTACGTGCCCCGCCGCCGTCCTTAACCCCTTCCCTCTCAAACATTTTCTACCTGATTTTCCAATGGGTCCACGCCCCA